CATTTAATTTTCTCATGAATATATTTACCTCGTGTGGTTATTTATTGTGTTATTCGAAGAAAACCGTTTGGAGAAGTTCGATCGTCAAGTTGAGCAATTTAAGAAGATGGTTGCTGATAGAAATATTGCATGCGATAATTTCATGGACCAGAATCAAATCCGCTGGAGCTTAGCATGTGATAACCATAATGGTGGGCACCGATGGTCTATCATGACATCTAACATGGCATAGAGCATCAATGGTGTTTTCAAAGGTATTTGTTCACTTATTGTAGCTTCTCTTGTGCAACATACTTATTGGTGAATATTGAAGAAGTTCGATAAGATGAGGTTGGAGACAGCAACACAAATCAGAAATGGTCATTCACAGTACACCAAGACATACGAAGATCTTATGAAGAAGAATGGACAAAAGGCAGTTGGACATTCTGTGATGGGGGTTGATCGACGTAAGGGCATCTATATAGTTCAGACTCCTCCCAATAATTTCAACATGACTGGTTCAAACACTCTCATGGTGCACTTCGACAACAAAAATCGGGTGCGATTTTGCACGTGTGAGAAATACAAGGACATAAAATTCTTTGCTCTCTTGCCATTATAGCTTGCAACCGAATGGGGGCTAACCCATATAGGTTTGTAAATGACATCTACAAGCTTGAAAGAGTATTTACTTGTTATGGGACAAGTTTCACACCTCTTGGTGAACCTAAGGATGGAAGAAGCAATATCAATCAGGGGGTTTTTTGCTGAGTCACTAACAGAATAGTGTTTGATCGTTAATATTAACGCTAAAAAAAATTGGGCCAAATTTGTCCAATAGTTTCAAAAGTAGGCCATAAATGTCTTATTTGAAAATTGTGGCCAGAACGATCACTTACGCCAAACTTCTGGCCAAACTAGGGTATTAACCCAAATTAGAATAGTTCATTTACACCTCCCTCCAATTACACTCCCTTACAACTATTGCAAAACATCCAAATGAGTGAAAATGTATTGGGATGTGAGGAACTTTTATTGCCATTGGTGCCCCTAAGAAAGGAAATTCGGGAGTATTTTGCTTAACTGTTCTATCAATGCTATATATGTTTATAATAAGTTATTAATGTCCACCTAAAGACAAATTATTTGAATTCAAAAAGAGCATAACCCCACTATTTAATATAAATTTAGTGTGCTTAAACATAAAATTGAATTCACACTAAATATGTGAGGAATTATTGATAGTCTAGAGGATGGAGACACGCAATAATGCACATATCATAAATTAACCATCAATGTCCCTCATCGCCTTGCGGGCGGTGAGCGACGGAGAGATAAAGAGGAACAGACTAATGATTTAGCATTTGTAATTCACTTCAACTCTGTCGAGTGTTTAGATCAAAAAGTGAACCAGAGAAAACGTGGACAATAGGCGGAAGGTGACCGTGCATAGCTCCTGAAAATCGAAAAACCATAACTACACCATACATTTTATTATTTCGCCATAAATCACAGACGAAGAGTATGGCGATGGTGAAGTCAGTAACTTCTTGTGCTTAAAAATGGCTAACACTTGGCTAGTATCTCGTCGACAGAAGAATTGGTGTACAGTCACATAGCGGTCAGACGCTTTGTCAGCTCTGCAACATCATAAGAGGCTTCGTCGGTGGAGGGATTCTCATCGTCTTCCCTCAGAAGAAGCAGGAGTTGGAGGGCCTTCCTTCCGATTCGGCCGATTTGGAGCCACAGTAGGTGGTAGAGCTGATGTGATTGTGCTAGGGCTTGGAGATGGGGTGAATAATTTAGGCCTTTGGGAAAGGGTTTTTTAAGAGCTTTGATGGAAGAGGTCGCTTCCGTAGAATTTTTTTTTATATGAAAAACGTCAATACTGGTAAATTATGCAAAACCATTCATAACCAAAGTGCTACTTCTTCTCACAAAGTACTGTGAACCAAACAACACAAAGGACAAAAATGTCTGAAAGAAATACCATAAACACCGTGCCAAACACCAAAGTGCTACTTCTTCTCACAAAAGCACCGTAACAAAACACCACAAACAGATCATAAATGCTCTTCATTGCTCCGACCGGCTGGTAGACTTTCGAACAAAAAAATCGCTCATTCAATTCAATGTTTCTTCCTCTTGCTATGTTGTTCTTCATTGACCGCCTTGTTTATAGCTTTCTCACCCACGAAGCAATCAAATAACCTCGCGGGCATTCGGCGTTGACGGACGGCAGGTTCACGTTGTGCAGCTTCTGGCTCATTGGGCACTGCAGGGTCACGTGCTCGAAGTTCTGGCGGATTGGGCAGTGCAAAGTCGAAGCCTGTAGCTTCTGGAGCATTCTTCAATCCACGGAGAATCTGCCAAGCCAACTGAACCCTCCCAGAAATGTTCCTACGCAAAGTTGGCACACGGACCATGCGCGAATCAGCAGCTTTAGTTATCTTAGGCTTCCGTAGAATTTTAGTTTACAATATATATGAAATACATGAAGAACTTTTGTGTGGATAAGTACACTCACGAAATTAATGGTTTATGGTACAAAGAAAATCCAAACTTCAAGTTGAAATAAACAACAAATAATTTAAACTAGACTAAATGTTATGTTGTCAATGGATATATTTGACTTTCCAGTTAAACAATTTATTTAGTTGCCTCCTATATCTTAATAATCATAACCATAATAAAACACAAATCAAAAGCACTTTCGATGAAGTCAATTTATTCAGATCTTGAAAGCAAACACTATAGTTTGAACCATTAACATCTAAAAGAATTTTTATTCATATGCCTTGTGTGTTTAATCATCACCAATAATGCATTTCACATGTGATCGTCTATCACACTTCTCAACGGACAAACCAAATAGTTGTGAAAGGAAAGTTTCTACAAAATAGTCTGTTGGGGGAGTGGATCCAGTCAATAATTTTGTGGTCAATAATTATACATAATTCAATCAGAATCCGACACATCAGCGTCCCTTCTCTCTACTGAAAAGTCTTTAATTTTCCTCTATTATCTTTAACGGATGATTCTCACTCGTTTTAAGTCAAAATTTACTTTTTTCACAGTTAAATCGGATTAATTGTGCTCTTCAAAATAATATCCACTTTGATATATATTTTTAGCAAAAAAAATTGAGCCATTTTTTACCGGTCTATACCATATGGTATTGATCGAGAAATAAGAGCATATCTATATTATGAAAAGCGTAACATGGTGGTATGAACAAACCAAAATTGTAGGATGGTTGAATACATGATAGTAGAAGTATATTAACTGTCATTTACGACTTTTAACATTATGTACCACAAGATACCACCCCGTACCATGGTGGTATTGTGTGGTATTTTTTGGTCCTGTATTTTGTTCACCCAGAAATTTGTAGATCCAATAGCTCATGATGAACTCGTTCATTCTGTGCAAAAATTTTAAAAAACGAATTAAAAATGAAGAAGATACCATATGGTACGCAGTTGGTACCGAGAGGCCCGGAAAAAAAAATTCTAAAAAAATATTGAAAATGGATCTCATTTTGTAGAGCACAACGTTCTCGTTCCATCTATGCAAAAAAAAATTGAAATCCAAGTTAAAACGAAGAAGATATGAGTCGATTAAGAAAACAAGACAAAAATAATAATTTTTTAATTCTCCCCCTTAGATTTGGATTTACTAAATAAAGGTCCAGATTTAGTTAATATGGGTTATGCACCGTATCTTGAGCCGCCTGCTAGGACTTTGAATATACTAACATGTGCCTAATCAACAATTCAAGGCAAAAAGTATCTCCCACTCGCATTAGCATCAATGAAAAACGAGTAAATTGCAAGTTTGGTCACTGGAATTACTTAAAAAGTTTACGTTTGCCATTAAAAGTAATAAATTTTATCTGTCGTCTCTTAGATTAGTACAACAGTTCAAGTTTGGTCACTCTCCGTTAGTCTCTGTTAAATTTTGCTGATGTGTCAGTCAACTAAATGACGTGGCAATTTAAAAAATAAAAATTACTTTTTTTAATAATGTCACCTCATTATCACAATAAATAAAAAATTGCAATAAAAATTGAAAAAACAAAATCCATCCCCCGACCGGCTCCGGAGCCTCGCCAGCGGCGGGACACCTCAAATTGAGCATCGAGTCCAGTCCCTTGGGAATCCCCCCTTCCAGCCGATTCGGCGACAGTTCACCTACTTGACCTGCTTCAGGCTGGCCAGTCCGGCCGGGATCGGGCCGGAGAAGGAGTTGGAACGCAGGGTCAGGGACTGGAGGGAGGCGAATGAACTGATGGAGGCAACTGGCAAGAACCGGTCCAGAAAAGAGGTGGTCGGCGAGGTCGAGGGTTAAGAGGGCGGTGAGGTGGGAGACGAGTGGAGTGAGCTGTCCAGAGTAGCCTACCGGGTCGAGGGTGAGTTGGGAGACTCGGGAGGAGTCAGGGGAGCAGGCAACGTCGCAGACGAAGTGGGTGAGGCGAGGGAGGGAACATGGGTCAGCCGCGGCGAAGTCCCAGGAGGCGAGGCACGACCAAGGCGGGATGGAGGCAGGGGAGATGACCGATTTTAGGGCTTTGAGTGTTAAAACGTCTTGTGGGTATGTGAGAGCTGTTAGGCAGGGTAGAAAGGGCTGAAACAGAGAATAATAGGAAGAAGAAGGTGGCAAATGAGGGAAATTGAGAAAGCTTGGGATTGCGAAATGTGAGCAGGGGAGGGACGGGACTATTGGAGAGTCGAGGGAGAGGAGTGGCTAAGGAAACGAAACGGGCGAGTATGGCAATGGCTGGAAGGCACCAAGGGCCGGAGTAGCTTGGAGCCGCTGGCGAGCTGGTCGGGGGAATGGATTTTGTTTTTTCAATCTTGGATTTTTTATTACAATTATTTATTTATTTATTTTATTGCAATTTTTTATTTATTGTGATAAAGAGATGGAATTTTTTTAAAAATAATTTTTATTTTTTTAATTGCCTTGTCACTTATTTAGCAGTCAACTCTCAGAGTTAATTGCCACATCAATAAAATTTAATGGAGAGTAACCAAACGTGGACTACATGTGAATAAATTAATTTTACGAGCAAACATAAACTTCCAGTGACCAAATTTGCAATTTACCCAATGAAAAACAATGTATTCAAAGGGGATCATTCCATGTATCTTAAACACTGCCAGCACCAAAAGTAGAGCAACACTCAGAGCACTAATTAATAAGGGGAATTAAGGATTTTCTAACAAATCCCCTACAAAAAGATCACATAACACAGCCTCCGCCACCAAAAAACAGACACAAAATAACATGGATTTCTACCGGTGTATATGAACTGATCAGGAAACGAATCAACTAAAAACCAGAGCTTCAGATCCCAAATTGCACTGCTAGCTAGGCCAAACTATTCCATCCCATATGACCGACACTCTTCCTCTTTCCCGGCCTCATGCAATTTCTGCCTACCGTGACATGCGCTGAGAGTAGCCATCGCTCCTTGATCTATTGCTGTTGTTGTTGTATTCGCCATCTTGGGTACCTGCTCTGCCCAAACCACGGCCGCCACCACCGTAGCGGCCCCTTGGGGCATCCGTTATGGGGTACCCACCTCTGCCTCTTCCCCTTCCTCCTCCTAATCAATCAACCAAAAAAGAGACAGAGACACAGAGAGTCAGTTTCTGCCATGCTATCACAGGCTTTTTGCACTCTAATAGTCTCTCCAGATATAGAAATAAATAAACCACTCATAACACAAACAAGAGAAGTATCCATCTATAATCTAATGGGTGCTTCCATCATCTAATCGTAGTAGGCATAGAGGCAGTCATTCAGCAACATGGGACAGAAACAGAAAACTAATAATAATACGTACTTCCACCGCGAGCACCAATACCCCCAGGAGTTGGTCTTCGTTCCTCGATGTAGACTTGTCTCCCAGCCAATTGTATGGGAGATGACTGCAAAAAGAAAGTCACATTAGGGTTTCTTTCAATCACATCATACAGATATTGTCAATATGGTCGCAAACCAACCAATTAAAGAATATTCAGGATTAATGCACATGCTGAATAATGGAAGGAAGAAAAAGTAAATGCAATAGACGAAGTGCAATCTAGATCATATACAAACCTTTATTGCATTATGAACACTTGCAAGGTCTTCAAACTCGACGAAAGCGTAACAAACACCAATTACGTCCTACACAGAGTAAAACACCTAATCTCAGTTCATTTACAAAGTATGGTATCAATCTAGTACCAAAAACTAAGAAAATAAACTCACTTTTCGGTTCCTGACAAAGACGCCATCGGGCCTGATTCTACCAAAGTTTCTGAACTCCTGTTCAATTTCTGCGGCACTAATATCGGATGGCAAGTTGCGCACATAAACAGATCTAGGTTCACCTGAACAAAGAAAATCAAGAACCAATTTTGTTAATTCAGAAAGTAATTGTTTAGTGTACACATAAATGAACTGAGATTCAAAACTACAATATATCAAGCACACAACAATCTTTATAAGTTTGCTACAAATGTCAACAAGGTCAGCATGAACCCATCACGGAAACTGAGCAAGCGAAGAAATTCACCTTCATCAAGTTCCAAACCGTCGTCATGTTTATCATTAGTAGCCTCTGGCACAAATGACAACCCTGCGTCTGACTGCTGGGCATTGGGTGCTGACACATGATTCCAATCTGAAGCTGTGTCTTTCTTAACAACAGGTTGCTGAGCAGCAACTGATGAGAATGGCCCCTTGGCAACTCTTAACTGCGATTTATTCAAAATATTATAAGATGCAGATTATACATGCAGCAGATAACAAATAATGTAATAAGGAATGTTTTAAACCTATAGGTCATGCAGCAAACAAGCAATATGGTCATATGTTTGCGACATAATATGCTATGAAGAACAAATACAACAACATTATCAAAAAAGAACAAATACAACCAACGACAGTGTAGAGATGCTCTAGAAACGGATAAGACGGAATGCAGAGTAGCAAAAAGGAAGATGAACAGAACAGAAAGAGGTGCGTACAATAGACGCATAAGTTTTCTTTTCTGGTTCTCCCACGGGTTCATCATCCACCACAGATGCTGAAGGTTCGTGCACACCATCCACAGCACCCTGATACGAAGGTGTCTCCTCTATTGTTTCTTCCACTACAGTATCATCCCGGAAGTCTTGCTGATGTTGAAGTTCTGGAATGCTGTACTTGTCAACTGGAGTGTCTTCTATGTGAACTGAATTCACATACTCCCTAGCTTCTTCCTCCAAGGCGTAGTCAGACACTGCTGGGCCAGGGACTACGATGAATTAATAACAGAACAAACTTCTTTTCACACGGAAGTTAAACTAGATACGGAGAGCCAAGATAAGATACAGAGACTTGGTTGGGCACACTACTGCGCTCTTGGTGACTTTATTCAAATACATCACAATAGAAAAACAAACAAACCATCGATGCATATAACAGAAAAAGAACACCTTGTGAAGACTTCAAATTCCATACTCTCTTTATATCCAGAAAAAAGAAATTCATCTAACTTGCTTCGAGGTATAATAACACATTACCTGGAGGCTCAGGGAGACTAGCAGAAGCATTTTGATGGGCATCAAAATGTTCCTCTGATATGTGTTGCTGATAAATTGACTCAGAAGTCACTGGATCAGGATGCTGGTGGTAGATGTGATCGGTTGTAGTAGGGGCTGAGTGCTGCTGATAGATGTGTTCAGCGGTGCTAGGAGCTGAGTGCTGTTGGTAGATGTTTTCCGATGCAGTAGAAACAGGATGGTGCTGGTAGATGATCTCACTATCAATGAACTGGAAAATATCATTGAGAACAAAATAACCCTTCTCCTGAGGAGCCAGGAAAAAGGTCTGCACAAACTTCTTCCTGCCACTGAATTCCTTGGTTTTGACAGAGCCAGAAACCATCACCATAACACCTCCATTCCATGATTCAATAGAATTGATGGTCTTGATCTCAATAGCAGTGAAATTCAAAGACGTGATAATATTATGGATATGCTGCAAAGTAAAACAAAACAGGAACTTTGTAAATATTAATATTGGCAGCAAAAAGAACAGGGTCCCCGCAACTATACCACACACCAGCCATATACAATAAGCACCAAGAGATTCAGAATATATACCAAGTACTAATATTAGATAACGAAGAAAACAAATCATCAATTGACACTACAGGGCAGCTAAAGAAAGACAAGTGACCAAACAGCTTCAATCCCTGACTGGGGATAGTGGGTCACCGCCATTAGAGTGTGCTATATTGTCGTGAAGCCGGGCAGCGTGAGATAATGAGGAAGAGGGAAGTACCAGCACATTCGAGGCAGTTTCACTGTCATCTCCCTCAACGCGGATCATGGTGCTGGCTTCGGAGTAGAACTGAAAAACAAGATCAGGCTTCTGCTGAAGCACTTGGTAGTACTGACCAACAAAGTACGACCCCACCTGAGAAGGGAGAAAACAGATGGCCACAACAGAGTCAGAATGAGATCCCAATCACCATTACCAAACCAACAAGCACTCGCAAGGATCATTCAACTCGAATCCATCTATATTCGTATATATCAAATGCAGAGAGAAATCAAAATCACCTGAATAGCAGAGACGGGTCCCGGATACGGAGCGGCCATAGATAGCTAAGAGTGGCTGCTTCTGCTCTCCACCAACAAAAGCAAGAATCCGAACAAAAAAATCCCGCGCTATGAAGTCGCTAGGCAGATCGGGAGGAAATGGAGAGATAAGGTAGAGTTGCGGCGCCCGTCAAACCAGAAAACCCTCTTCCGAGATTTTTAGGGTTTATTGCGTTACGTATTTATATGTACGTAGCCGCGCGAGGAGTTTTGGACAAGGGAGAAATAAAAAAATAACGAACAAACGACAGACAGACGAGACGAACGGAGCCGGAGAGTAAGCTTATTCTCGGCGGCGGTTGGTGGCGGAGAGAAGGAACACGGCCGACGGGGGTACGGGGAAAGAGGAGAGATCAGATCTAAGCGGCAAACCCACAGAGAGAAGAGAGAAAGAGAGCTGACGCTTTTTCAGTCTTCACCAAGTCCCAAAAAGAGAGAGTTGAGAAAGAGTGATGCGAAGCGAGAAAGAAAGAGAGGGAGCTTTGCTTCGCTTCGCTTCCTTTTTCCCCCCTAAATCCCAAAGCCGCTCCTTTGTTATTCTACTACACCGTTCTGATTTGGTAATTGCGCAGGGAGTACTCCCTACGCGCGACCGCAGCAGATCACACGGCGACGGACGGCTGGCTGACGCCGTAACGGTAATGCGAACGTAAGTGGAATCCGGCCAGTCGAGTCAGCAAAAGACAGTATCATCCTGGGGAGTTGACTCACCCGACAGTATTGCGCCACGTCGGATTAGTACTGCTGCGGCTGCCGCGTCACTTGACAGATATGGTTCTGTACCAAAATCTAGTTCCCCTTTCGACTTTCGGAGGTCACAGCCCCAAAAAAGGGAACCATACCTAACTTCAATTCCCTTTGACATTTGTCAAAATCGCAATGTAACTCAAAATGAGGTGTAGTTCCTCTCCCTATTCATCTACCTAATTCAATCCACCGACAGCCAACCATAGTACGGTTCTATATGAATGTTGTAGAAATGGTTTGTACCGATTTAGTAAGTGGCATGATTCGGTAGGTGATATAATCGATATAACTCTAGTTTATGTCGATTTTAACAAAATATATAGAAAAGTAAAAAAACTAATAACATCTCAAATATATATAACACATTTCAAAGCAATCTCAATACAATCTTCATTCATATTTAAACAAAAATATAATATGACGAATCCTCATATTTAAATAAAAAATATACGTCAAAATCTAAATATTTATACTTTAATTCAAAAACTAATATCATCATTTATATTTAAATAAAATACAACACAATACGACAAATCTCATTTCATTTACTTAAATTCATAAAAACAACCTCATTTTGTTTAGGGAAAGAAATTGTTCATATATTAAGATCAAGTGTAGTATTAAGAAAAGAAATTGTTCATATACCATTAAATATAATAATACCACTCTTAACTCCTGCGTAATATTCATCGGCTTCTAGGTCAAGAATGGGTGGTTCGTTTGGTTCATACGTATCGCGAAGGGCATAGAGCCGCGGACTGGCTCTCGGAGCACAGTCTCGTCTATCCCTTCGGTACTTATGAATTAGATGAACTCCTACCGATCTGAAGAGGATTTGTCAGGATGATATCATAGGGGTTAGTCATCCCCGTTTGGTGAGGCAGACACCAGCAGATGAGAACTGATTGTGGGATTTTCTTTGGTGCATATCTCGGCTTGTTCTCTGTTTGTGTTTTCTGGATAGGTTTTGTGCCAAGGTGTTAGCGTTAGCTGTGTTTGTATAGTGGGTTAACTCCTGCTGTGTTTGTTTAGCGTTTGCCTTTAATCAATCAAAAAAAACTCCTGCGTAAGAGAATCCATCCCAATTTAAATCCATCCTAATTTGGTAGTGCTGACTGACTGCCTACTTGTGGGGAAATTTGATCTGACTCTTTTTTAGATAAACCCGGAACCAAAGGCAAGGAACAAAGCACAGTAAAGTTTAGGAGGTCTCAGGTTCGAATTTGTAGCATCTTTATATAAAAAAAAATACAAAGCACAGTGACATTAACAAAACGAGGCCGAGCTTTTTTCAAAAGAGAGAAATTCAAGACACATGTGACATTGTACCAACTACGAACTCTTACTCTGCAACTAGATATATGAGATTTGGTCATCTCTCGCCTCTCCTAGGTCTCATCTATTTCTGTATCTGTGCTACACTCCCCCCCAGTCCCCAGTTCAAAAACTCCCTTCCACCCCAGCCGAATGCACTGTTACATCAAATTCAACGACAACAGCTTTTCAGTAGTAACTCGCATAATAGGGTTGTGGAACTGCAGCTGGCTGCTGAACCGGTGCTGCTGCTGCTGCTGCGACCGCGGCCGCGGCCGCGGCCGGTTGAGCATAGCTCTGCTGGGGAAAGGCAGTGGCTGCTGCTGCTTGCGGCGGCTGCTGAGACACCACCAAGAATTACAAGAGATTATGTTAGATGCAAAGCTAAAGAACAACAATATTATGAGGTCAGCTTCTATCTGTTTTTACCTGTGGAGGATAGGTAGGAGGATAAGCACCGTATGCAGCAGTGGGTGCAACAGCTGCGGGCACCTGTGGAGCCGTGTAGCTGCCTCCATACGTCGCCCCTCCATATGCACCATAGGCAGGCTGACACAAGAAAACAAAAATGAAAAAGAATGGTTAAATCTTCTGAGAGAGCATTCCGGGAGACTGATAATGGCATGTCAAATGCCAGCATTCAAACCAACTTAAAGGAATGCTAGTCTGATGCATGCTACGTGACAGCATAACCAGATGCAACGTCATAGGGAGGCGAAGAATCAGGCATTATTGCGTTGAGATCAAATTATTGCTCGAATCATTCCAGCCGTTAAAAGTATGGGATATAAAATCACCAAGAACAAACAGATGAAACATACTTGTTGAGTGTAGCCTGGACCCCACTGTTGAACCTGTGGCTGTGCTTGGTTAGCTGGAGGCCAACCTTGAGGTTGTACACCATAACCAGCTGGCCACTGGGTCTGCTGTGCATTTGGGTATCCACCCATCACAGATTGCGCAGGTGAAGCAGAATCGGTGTAAGATTTTGCCACTTTGCTCTTATCCGAGGATAAGTAATCCTCGGCCAGACGTTTTTTTAACACCGATTTGCTCCTATGGGGCAAGAAGAGCTTAGCATGACGGTCTTCAGCTTTCTTGATTGATTGTACATCCCCAAATACACTTAAGAACTGTAGGGAGAAAATTTTCAATATGAGAAATCCAAGAGAACAGCACAAAGGTGTTTGTCAATGGAAATTGTCAGAATATTTTACACAAACTGCACTGAAGAGACATACATGAGCACAATGCAGACCCAAGACTCAACCTATGCCAGCTGACAAAATTAAGACAAGGAAGTAAGTACATCACCTCTAGGAAGATGCATGATAGCTCTTCCCTCTCCGCAGCACTTGCAGTACTATCAGAACTCGGTGCAATTAACTTATCCACCAATGAATCTAAGTAGTCAATTCGTTTTGGAAGGGACATAATTGACTCCAGATGTATAAGCGCCTGTATATTAAACAACATGGCAACCATAAGTTAATTCTGCAAAGCATGACGCAAGTTCTGTCCAAGGGGAACTTTTACATAAATAATACAACCCAGCTGATACTTAAGTGAATCTTGAAGCGCAGATAGAAGTCAAAAGGAGTGTTGGGAAAGCAAACCTCAAGCAGGGGTTTGGAAAATTGGACATGATCCAGGGCTGTAGCTAGAATTTCCCTTGCTTTCTCCGCATTTCCAGAAGCCTAACAAGAAGATTATATCCAAATAAATATCCATACAGAACAGCACCATGAAAGGAATTATACTATCAATCTCTGTTAGCTAAATCAAACATATTAATAACATTATTTTATCCTTTTTATTAAAGTAAGCATATCTCAATATCTCTATGACTCTATCTATCTATTCATAGATAAGAAATCATATGCACAGTCTATTCCAGCAGGTAAATATTTCATTATATTCCTACAGTGTTCATAATGACTTCATTTATCCAGATCTGCATCCTCTTGACAAATTTCAGTTCCTGCTAAGTGCCTGATTGAGGTGTGCGGTAAGCAAGGCTGGCAGGTTTAAGAACTTCCATAATGCCGTAAAAAGGACAGAAGATCATGTAACCCAAACAAACGTACAACTTACCAAATACACAAATCGTGAGTACTGTGCATACAACATTGGCAGCACCTGGGACTGCTCTTTCCCTTTTTCAATGCTGATGGCCTGTTCATATAAAGAGAATGAAGTTTCAAGGTTTCCCTGCAAAAGGACAACAAAAATCCACAACAGTTTAGTATCATCTTTATAAAGGTACTGCACTTTGTTACATTTGTCTTGATCCAAACTTACCAGCCGATGTTCCATGTTTGCATGCTTAATGATAGCTTCTAAAAGGCCAGGCGCAATCTCAGTGTGCACTCGTTCGTATGCTGCCCGAGCGCCAGGTATATCGGCATTCTGCTCTTTAAATCGGGCAGCAAATAGATGAATATCGGGTTGTCTCTGTTCAATGATAAGGCATGAGAATCAAACTTCTTTGAGTACAGAAATGGAAAACAGTCGGACAGTCACAAGGTAGGTGGTAGTACAAATAACCAACAAGTTCTTTTTAGTGCAAATCTTTTAAAGAAACCAAAAGAGAAAACCATCTAAGCTCCTCAACATCTGTCAGTTAACAAGCTCATTTCGAAACTTCGCAGATTTTGAGGGATCTATGGATTTAATATTCAAAAGGTTGGTCAGTGTTCCCTCTTCTACATTTCTAATTTTGACTTCTAATTAAGCATGAAATGCTACATGCATGAGGTATTCAAGTCTACTTTTAAGAGTTTCATTCGAAGGATTACCAACATAAGAGTCTGAGCAATAATTGAGGATAATAACCTTTACAAATACTTGAGTAGCACGAACAAGAGCGTTATCGGCAATATCCATACTTCCACAGGCTTCCATGCACAAGACATAGCGGGTCCAATACTCGGGATAATTTGCACAGGCAATTAGGCATCTTTCATATAATTTGACAACCTGAAGCATAAACATCCAAACATCATAAACCATGGAACTTGTATGCATAAACACGGTACAGAAAGGATCAAAGCACAAAAGAGTTATGCATAAGAAATACTCCATCGGGGAACAGAAGAAAGAGAAAGGCCCCTCAAGTACCAAAGGAGGGACCCTCCATGCTGAGATACATTGTTAAGGAGACAAGAAGATACCTGCATTCATAACATATGTGTTTTAAGAAAAATAATAATTTTAACGCATACATGAACCTAGAATGTCCACCAACAAATGTGAGGGTTTGAAGTACTTAGCCTTATAGAAACCAAAACGAAGGCCCCAGGCTTTAGCCTCAGTTCAATTTCCCGTTTAAAAAGTTGCTTCATCCAATGGTTTAGCCAATAAAGCATAAGAAGCAGCCGATACTACGTAGCTGTAAGTCAATTAAGAACAACAGCTAAAAAAACAAAAAACTACATATCAAATGATAACCACAGATGGAGCAAAACTTCAATACCTTGTTCAGATCATCTTGTCCTTCCATGAAATCCAAATAATTATGCCAATTTTCAAGCTCTGCAGCATTGAGAGGCCGCACGTGAAAGTAGGGCCTCCTGATAGCATTTTCAAAGTCAGAGATCTTAGAATCGAACTCCTTAGCTTTCTTATACATCTCTTCTCTAAGCGCGATGTACTTCTCCGACTCAGCTTCTGTTAATCCAGCAGTTACAGGTTTAACAGAGTCTTCTGGCTCAACAGTATGAACATCTCCTTCACTTGCTTGGCCACCATTCTCCGAAAGACCAGACGGAGGAACCGGAGTTTCCTCTGCAGATCTTAATTCCGAAAGAGGTCGACTTCCAACCAATTCCTTAAATCTACAAAGCCAGAAAGTAAGAGAAACCAATTATGCCCTTGCATTCCTAGGGGGGACATGTATCATATTATCCTTCTTCCAGCATACATCGTCAACACTATCAGAAAACCCGAATCCACCTTATACCAAGATAAAGGAGAAGTGAAGTCCCAGTAAAGAATTTTACCACCTAGAGAATAATTCTAAAGTAGCAAACAATGAATATCAAGTAAATGAGTTTTGACCATGTAAGCGGCTACAGAAGCTTACCTGTTAAAATAATTGTCCAGACTTCTATTCGGGATCTCCAATATTCTGGTGTATATTGAAGCAACCCGGGCCCACTCCGAATGCATTTCCTCATATTCAATATATTTGTCCCAGAGAGGAGAAGACAAATAATCTGTTCCAACATATGTTAACCCTCGTTCAAAAAGCCTGTTCCATGCAGCAAAACAGGAACCGAAATATCATTAAGATCACACAAGTGTCAAACAAAGCCAATTCAGATACATTCATAAATGAGAACACTGCACAAACATTGAAGCAGAAGAAACAATTCACTCTCATGACACTTCTAAGTGCTGCATTTACCTTCCCGATAAAACCCAAACTATGTCTGAAACGTAGCACTGAATCAGGCCATCTTAGTCCTTTTAACTGGACGAGATCTTCCCATCAGCATTTTGCATATTGATGCACTTCATAGTGTCTATGTTTAAGAAAGCCATGGGTCACAAACTACTTTTTCCTACGGCGCAAGCCTTCCAACAAGGGGGGAAACGTATCAAGGGATGGGAAAGGGGAAGGGAGAATGAACGACCTAAGAAACTTTCAAACAGAAACCAATAGCACAAACCCATAATCAAGGTTTGCACATCAAAAATGCATTTTTTTTCTCATTCCCATCATACCACTCGCCATTACATGAGGATCACTGTTGCAGGCAGACTGAAAGCATGTTAGAGAACAGTCAAAAAAGAAAATGCTACAGCCTCATGACACAGGAAATCACTCACAGGATCAGCCTAAAACGACAATCACCAAGTAAAACCCACTCATATTACCTTCTAATAGTCTCTGGATCACCATATGTACTTATGGCGAATGTGCAATAATGCAACCAAATATCCACTGAATATGTCACCCCAACAACAGCCCTCTCGTACACCTCCAATACTTTGTCCATGTCACCAAGCCGTGCCTCATGATCAGCATACTTTTTCCAATAACCATAACACAATGGAAATTCAGCCAAAAAAGCATCATACACTCTTCTTATTTTTAGTATCTTGTCCTGCAGAAAGAGCAAAGACAAAGTACAATGGTAAGCAGAACAGCTCAAAATAAGGCCAGTAATCAAAATATGACAGAAAACAGTCCAGCAAGCACGTCATGTTCAGCGTGACAGGAAACAGTGACCAATGCAACCAAAACAACGTGTAAAGACAAACCCTCAAAAGAAATAGCATCTACGTTCTGGAAGAATGCACATTTCAATCATCTACAGCAGCTTAAACAACTGCGAGAACAACATCAAACTTTTGAGTCTTATTATTTACGTGTTGCCACAAGCAGGGAGTACTTTTGAGGAGGTGCATGCCTTCTGTAAAACAAGCTTCTGCCATCCATTCTTTTGTTAACTCCATTTTTCCATACATTGTGGAAGCATAGACAGCATATACAACAACAGAGTATTGACTATTTAGCAAATTTAGTCAAAAACATATATCTTCTGAATATACTACAGAATAACAAGTAATTACAGGGAGAAAAACTGAAAAAACATACCCATGCAACCTTCTCTGTTTCATCTATCAATGCAGTCCATGCATCAAAATCCAAGGAATTAGCCTTGACAATGTTCCACAACCGATCCTCTTCCGGTGATGTTGCAGGAACTACAAAGAGAAGAACAAATATATAACTAATTAACAACCAATAATTAGAAAAGTGCAGCTGGTCTTAGGTAAAGAATAGCCGTTGAAGAAAGAAAACGAATAGAATGAGTCCGGGCACCTAAAAGAAATATTTTTGTACCAAAACAAGCACAACAAGAGAACAAGAACAACCTATACTGCATAAATGCCAGTAGAAAACAAATATATCCACCTATGTCATACCCGATCTTGTAGGCATAAACATACTTCTCACACAGCCAAGCTGCTCGCTTTCATTTTCGTAACGAAACAAGCACAACAAGAGAATGAGAACGACCTATACTGCATAAATGCAAGCAGAAAAACAAATATATCCACCTATGTCATACCCAATATTGTAGGCATAAACATACTTTTCACACGGCCAAGCTGCTCACATTCATTGTGCATCCACCAACGTATGACTTTCGTTGGCATATCCATCAATTGCCAAACACATCAAAACCTCTACTCCGCAAATATCAAACTAGGTTTCAACCTATACAGCTCAAAGATGATAACTCCTACATTTATTGAACAGCTTGCTTCTTGCTTATGAAAGAGAACTTTCATTTAGAGAATGAACGAACTCTTCCAGTCTCAATATTTCAAACAAGTTGGTTAAGATGTTAGGAAATTACACAAATCGCAAACCAGAAGTTGAAAGAATCTAGCAACATAGAGATGTAGGAGGCAGCATGCCATAGAACTCATACCAGAACCATCCAGTGACTGTTGCTTAGTAGCTTCAGCACCCATATCATCTGCAGAACTGCCATTCTCAACTGATGCTAGAGGTTTCCCTTCACCACCTATATTTCCATTAGCAGATGAATAACTAGAAGGCTGGGGAGCAGGTGCAGATGAATTAGGATCCACACAATACGTACTTCCATCAGCTGCTGCACTCACACCAGTTGGCATACTGTAACCCGTTTCTGCTGCAGCTGCAGGAGCTCCATAGCCTCCTTCACCAGTTTCAGAAGCGAAAGCACTAAGGTTCGGAATCGCATTGCTATAACCAGCAGAGGCATATTCAGTAACTGTAGAGGACTCAGAGGCAACTGCTGTCTCACTGTCACCCATACTTGATTTACGTCTTCTCTTCAAAGCAGAAACCAAAAAAAAAGTATATCAAATCAAGGGAACCAGACAAATAAGCTTAAACTAGAACACTAATATTCTCTAGAAAGTTTACCGATGGTGAGCTGCAAAAAAAAAAAAAAACAGTAATATTTCTGGAGAACAACAATACATTACTAAAAAAAAACAGTCAAATGATTCTGACCCTACGAAACTCACAAACTGGGCATTACAGCAAAACCGAAGGTTGAGGGAGTCGAGAGAACAGCTATAAGGCCGCCCGTTCCTCACCACAACTCCTTTCAGAGAGAGCCTAATTAGCCAATAATGCCACCTCGCTCGCGCCAAGCAGTGCAAGAGAAGCAGCAATTCAAAAGCCTGGCGGAATGCGCTAATTCGATTGAAGACACTCAACGATGCCAATTCCAAAACCCTAATTGCGACGAACCCTCGGGAACTAAACCCTAAAGATGAGAGGAAGCGAGAAGAGACACGCTGTGGCTAAGAAGAACTCACCAGAAGCTGAGTACAGAATGCGGCGCACTGTGAGCTCTTGGCTGTAGCTACGGGTTCGGCTTCTCGAGGTTGGAGAAGCTTCGAGCTGGTGGTTTTGCCCTCTTCTCTTGTTTCTGCAAATCAGTTTTGTGTTTCCATTCGTGCTATTTCCGTTTGCATTCAGTGACGCCAAAACGCAGGAAAAAATAGAGAACGGATGGGGTTGGAGGGGGTTTTTAGTTTCTGCGACTGCGACGCTGGTAGCTGATGCAGCGGTCTGATACAGACCGTCGGATGGTAAGAAAAACTTGCGTCGTCTGCCTGATCGGATGGAGATTTTATCTTTTGTTTTAGTTTTTAGGCGGGTAAATTGCAAGTTTGGTTACTGAGATTACAAAAAACGTTCACGTTTGGGCACTAAAAATATTTAATTTCAATAATTGTCACTAAGATTAGTTTAACAGTCTCCGTTAGTCTCTGTCCAACTCTGTTCATGAAGTCTGTTAAGTACTGACGTGGCAAACGAAAGTGCTCTGTCAATCTAACATAAACGCCACGTCACTAAAATTTGTCATGTCAAGTTCTACCAACCCAGCAATTAAACCGGCTCGACCTATAAACCGACTCCAAACCCGCAATTACCAATACAACTCCGCCGCATTCCAATCTCCATCGTCCTTCTCTGCCTTTTTCAAAGCCCAGTTCCACAAAATCCCCTTCCCGGTCCCACCTCTCCGACCAACCTGCTTCTCCCACTTCCCTGCCCTGACCGCAGCTTCGTCAGATTGTTCACCTGTCTCTTCGGCGACGGGATTCATGGTCGTTGGGGGCCTGGGCCATTCACGCACCCTGCCACTATGATGGAGGGTTGTAAGGAACGAGATCACCGAGTGGGCTTATGGCTCAATTGTCAATTGCTAAGGAAATTGGTTTATCTCCACGTTGAGTTCCTAAACTTTGGTTGAAAACCAAAATTAATTAATAAAGGAAAAGAAATCTCAATCGACAGAGCAGGAAGAGAGAAGGCAAGTGACGTCGGAGGAGGAAGCGGCCTGACTACTGCCTCCTGCTGGCGGCGAAGGACGGGGAGGAATAGGGATCCAAATAGAGGGATTCGCCACCGACCTCATGTACTCCTCCGTGACGTCATTCTTTGCCTTCCTCACGAGATCCAAGGCGAACCCGAGCGAGTTCCGGCAAAGGTCTCAAACGGTCGCCACTATCGCTGAAAACGCGAACGCGTTGCCGTAGTACCCATCGGCAGCGGCGGCTGAACCCCTAGCGCGCGCATCTCCTCTTTGGGGTCGGGTTAGTTGGCGACGATTCAACACTTCCAGAGGCAGGCAATGAGAATCTCGAAGCTGGAGCAGGAATCACGGAGTTGGGGCGGCGCGTCGTCCCTTTCCACCGCCTGTCGATTAGGGGTTTCTCATCTTCCTCCCAAGCTCGGTATGTGACACGCCAAAACACAACACCAAACTGCGACCAAGTGTAATCGCAGTCCGGGAATGGAGTAACAGGCAAGTTCTATTATCAACCCGGGGGCTAGATCTACTGCTTACTCCGTGATGATTTATTATCTAGCAAACTAATTCGAGTGATTGTTGTTTAAAGCAAAAGCAGTAAGAAAGCAAGGAAATTATTCGGTTTTCAAAAGCAGGAAAGAGTCACTCGGGAATGAGTCCCCCTAGCTCCTTAGTTAGGTTCAATTGTAATTACTCTGGGTTGATTTACTGTAGATTCGACTGCGGAAGATCCGACAGTAGCTTGGAATCTCTTAAGCTGACCAAGCCCTCTCAGTCCAACTACTCGGAAGACGACTAGTCTTCACCGGGATAGAAAGCTGAAGCAATAAGCACAGAACTCCACTACTGGAATTGAATTCCAGTACAAAGCGTAAACTGGCAAACTCTCGTATAGCCAATCTCCTACTATCGAATGAAGAGGCTCTAACAACCTAATCAGATTCTATCTATCTCAGGTTGTAGCAGAAATCGAGAAAAGCTGATCAGACTTCAAACAATTCAATAAACATGCCTCATTCGATTAAATCAAACAGTATATGGTGTACAAACGCCTCGAATCATTAATGATTAAGGGTTAGAACGGCCCCCTACGCTCTGTTTCTCACAAAAAAAAACTTATGAAAGAAAAACAGAGTCATGTGACTTCTCCCTGTTTGTTGGTTTCTGGGGTTTCAAATACCTGTATGCCAAAAAATGTACGTCTTATCTATACTAGGAGGAATAGTTTCATACTACAGAGGGAAACTGAATTCATTAAGGAGAAATAGTGTATTATATTGGGTCGGACGATGTTTATGCATGTTTTGATAACCTTTCTATGCATGAGTCCTGATTTCTTCTCCTTAATCTTTTGTTACTTTGATTTCTTTATGTGACTTGTGTTGCAAAAAACATGGTATACGTGAACGTATTCTAACAAAAAGATTTAAGTGTGTACTTGCGTACAAGCTTACTGTTGGGATTTTTAATCGTGTGAATAGAAATGAAAGTGAAAATATCCAAGAGAATCTCTTGAAGTACCGTGTTGGTAAGATGTGGGAAGGCGTGACCTCTAATTCGATTGATTTGGTGTAACATGTGGGTAATCGGTTAAATTAATTTGTGTAACCAACTGGACCAAACCGAACTGCATTGAATCAAACCAAACCGAACCGATATGGCGGTTGGAATAACCAAACCGGTCCAACTTCCATGGGTTGAACTAATGCAATGGTTGAGAAATTTTGAACCAACCAATGTAATGGCTGGGGTATAACCACCCATATGAAGAGTTGCCTCCCTTCGTATGCACCCCTTCATTATTTATAAATAAGCACCCACCCCTATGATTTTGAGGCGTTATTCCCGATACCGAAATTCTGCTAAAGTCCAAGCTAGGTTTTCCGACATTTTTTCTAAAAGAGAAAATCGAGTCAAGTGTGGTTCTCGCTGTTTTGCTGCGTTTGATGGTTTTCGGGGGTTGAGATACCGCTACGCCGGAAAGGTACATCCTTTCTATCTTGGGAGGAATCATTCTGTAACCTTGGGTACTAGAGGGGAATAAGATTCCTTAAGGAGAGACATTGAATTATGTCGCTAGGAAGATTGCATATGTTTGCCTGATTTTTCAAGATCTTACATGTTACTTTTTTGCAAGATTTAGTGTACCTGAACAATTTCTATAGCATTAACGGGAGGAGTGGAGGAGCAGACGTGCAGGGCCTACTGGGTTGCTATCGACAAGTTCAGCAAGCTCCGGGCAGCAACAAGCCATTCTTGGCTTGCACAGGTTGCTCCCGACTATCACGTACGGCATCTACTTAATGCAGATCCCGACGCTGCTCCCCCACCACTACCACTGTCAAGCGATATTACAAGTAATCATCAAGACTCAAACCGGCGACCACGAATTTCAAAGTGGATCGACAAGATTTAAAGAAAATTCTCACCAACAAAAAGTTTATTTTAATGTGGGTTAACTGGATGGTTGGTCACTCGGATTACAAAAAACGTTCAAGTTTGGTCACTCAAAATATTTAAATTCATTGGTGGTACTTCAGTTTACTGAAACTGTTCACGTTTAGTCACTCTCCGTCCAACTCCGTTAACTTTTGCTTACTTGGCGGTCAACTCTAAAAGTTGACCGTTAAATAAGTGACGTGGCAATTTAACCCTTTTAATGTCAATGTTGAGTTTAGACTTTAGTTCTAGTTATGTTTTTATCTTTTGTTCTTCAAAAGCAAGGCAACACACCTTTGTCATGTAGTGCCACTCTTAGACTACTTAAACCAAATGTTGAATGAGAACTAAGGTTCTAGGGTTCCATTTCACAACTCATCTTTGTTGTTACAGTATCAGAGCCTGTTTGATTAGAACTCTATGAACCTCTCACCCACAAAAATAAGGATTGTCCAGATATGAAATTTTCAGATGTAAACCCTAAAAAACATTTCTTCTCCTCCATTGCATCTTTTCCCCAAAATCTCCAAAATCCCTCCTACCTTTTGCCGCAATCTTCAATCCGTCTTCCCAAACCTGACCCTGATGAGGCGCCGACAATGATCTAATTTCTTTTTCCCAAACCCTATCTTTTACTCTCTCAAATCTTCCTTTCCCATCTTCTCCAAAACCAAAATAAAATCCACAAATCCTTCCCAGATTTCTTTTCTTCCACCAAAATTTGCAGATCCAAAACTCAGGGTAAAATAACTCGGGTATCACTTAACTTTGAGAATTGGGGTAGACCTACCACTTAAGTTTGAATATGCCGTCAGGTACCTTGAAAGTCGCCAAACTTACATCAATCTAGTTTTCCATCCAACCCAAACTTTTAATTACTTTTTGGTACCCAAAACTTTTAAAAACATCCAAACCTAATATAAAAATTAGAAAATTTTCTAAATATAATATTATCAGAATGACTACTGAAATTTTTCAATAAAATAAATAATTTTGTAAAAATAATAAAAAAATATCAAGAAGTAATTATAAATATATTAGAAGAATAAATATTTTGAATCAATATCAGAAGATCTATCTAAACAACTAATCCAATTAAAAGTGACATTAAAAATATTTAAAATAGAACATAATCGATCATCAATACATCAAAATCAAAAAATGATAAATGGAACGCAATCAGAAAAAATTAAACATATTCCAATAATTGAAAAAAATTAGAACGAAAAGATACGAAAACAAGTAATAAATATACTATAAAAGCTACAATATTGAGTAACAAATCTAGAAAAAAATGCCTATAGGAAGAGAATTAAAATTAGTGAATTTAACTAATATGGAACATCTACAATATAATATTAGAGAATTACAAAGATATTTAAAATGGAAAATTATACAACATGGAGAATTACAATAAGAAAAGCAGAAGGACCAACTATTAGGGGCCCCAGGAAGAGAAGACCTAACGACTTACACCTTGCGTCTGGGGAAATGGGGCGATAGCAGGCGATAAAGCGCCAGTCAAACCTCCCGCTTTGTGGTTTAGAATCCCGATACGTCCCCTTACTCTTTAAAGGCCATAACTTCGGACTTGATTAAACTCATATGAAGCTATGAGCTTTTCCATCGCTCCCATCTTGCCAAGCAGTTTAAAATGAAATATTTCAAAAATATTCTGTCAACTAACGGAATACACTTAATAGTAAACTTAAGTGGTACCGAGTGCACATATAATAGAGTTTATTGATACGCGATGCCCTATTCTTAGTTAAGTGGTATAGCTCCCCCAATTCTCATACTTAAGTGGTACCTGAGTTATTTTACCCCCAAAACTCACTCTCCCTATCCGCAAAAACCATTTGTCACTCCCCAAACCCCATTTCACTGCAGGATCGTCAGGGCACAGCCGAAGAACAGAAGCAAAACAAGATTTTGGCCGAGAACTGGTAGATCCAGTCGCACACGATGACAACCGGCAACGAGATCCGACTTGCACAACATCCTAGACTTCCCGGCGCTCGTACTCAGTCCGATCACACCTTCTCTTCGGCGACCACAAATGCTCTGTCGTAGTGAGCTTTAGTCTACGCATCTGACTCGCCCAGACCGCTGACGATCTGGATCTCCGAACCCATGACCCAAGATCCAGATTCTGGTTGTGCTGTTTCCACCTACCTTGCTCCCAGAAGAGAAGATTGAGGATGAGGATAAGTACCCTGTTTTCTCTAAGTCCCTGAAGCTCCTGAAAGGAGACAAAAGGCAGAAACCAGCCTTGGAATGGCTTCAACAACACCTTCGATTCAAGTATGAATTTGAAAAGGGTCAAAAGAATGTTATGATTGAAGGTGAGATTCTTGAACCTATGGTTGCAATTGATGGATTGAATGAGCAAAGGAAGGGTGCCGAAGAAAGTTTTTGAGAATCATGAAAGAGTTCAGATTAGTGTGAATGTCATTTTGTCCATGAGTGAAATGCAAGTTCTGAAAATTGTGATTGAGTTATTTTATGTTGAGAAGACTGTGGTTGAGAATGAGAAGAATGTCAATATGGGTTGGTTGGAGGCAATCTCCAATAGACAAGGTTGTCAACTTTCTTGCCGATTCGAAGCAAGTAAAGAACTAAAAAAAGGATCTGCAAAATTCCAGCAGAAGTGATTGTTTCATAAAGGAAATAGAAGCAGAAGCAGGGGAAGTAGCCAACTTTGCACTCCATTTGTTGATTTTAATTTATTTCTCAGATGGAATGCTATCTAGCAAAGTCAGCAGCATCATATCCGGACCATGTTGAAGATACAACTAAAGCTGGAGGAGAAGAAAGAAAAGTCAACCAGCTAGCAATGTTGCAGCAACTTTTATTTGAAGATCGTAGGAGTGCCAGCTAGCAAAAGAAGCAGCAACATTTCCTACTTATTTGGAGAAATTGAAGCGAAGTAGCTGAAGTTGGGAGTTGAGTAGTTGATGAAGAAGAAAGGAGTGCTTGTCAGCCAAGAAAAAACAGCAGCATATCTGAATGAATTTGGAGAAACTGAAGCTACAATGCTGAAGTTGGGGGTTGAGGAGTTGAAGAAGAAGGCATGCCAACTAGCCAAAGATGCATTGGTATCACCGGTTGAAGAAGAAAATTTCATAGCTAGCTAGCTAGCCATAGATGCAACTAGTGGTGGAAATCGGTACAGTATCGATATCCCAATACCAAATACTGAAATCTCGAATACCAAATTACACCCTAAAGTAAATCCCAATCCCTAAATAATTTTGGTATGTCAATCCCTAAATATTTTGTTATCCCAATCGGTACTTCGGTATCCCAATCGGTATTATCGAATATGAAATTAATTACCTTTGTATTTAATAATTTAATATATAAATTAGATTTGATTGTTTAATTTAGGACAAAGAAACTAAGCAAAGAGTCTTGAGTTTGCCTAGAACTAGGATATGGATAAAAAGAATGGAGAAGATGTGACATCTCAAAATTTTGTCATTGGTAATCTTTAATTTGACGAATTGGAGACTGAGAGACGACTAATACTAGTGTTTGCTTTTTGGTGTTATGAAAATAACAAGAGTTAGGTGAGAAACGAGAGTTACTTAAAGTGAAAAGTCAAAATTGAGTTGGATGGGGGCTTCTAAGTTGTGAAAGAGTGAGGAATGGCTAAAGGTTTTGTGATATATTTCATTAATTTTTAAAGTTATGTATTTCTCGGTATTTCGGTATATACCAATCCCAATCCCGTATTTCTCGGTATTTCAGTATTTTGGTATATACCAATCCCAATCCCGTAATCCCAAAAACCGAATAGCACTCCAAAATGAATCTCAAACACAATCCCTAAAAAATAAGCCGGTATTCGGTAATACCAAATAGTGGTAAATTCGGTACAGTATTCGGTATATCCCAAATACCGATACCAAACTTTCAGCCCTAGATGCAACAATCATTCAGAAGATGTGTGGGAAGCCAACTAGCAAGATGCTATAGTTTCACCAATTGAAGATTGAAGTGAAGTTAGCTAGCCAAAGTGTATCAACATTCTCAAGTCAAGACTGGATTCTCTCTCCAAGTTTGGTGTGCACATTCTGTGCTCACCCGCTTGCTGGGGTATCAAGAGATATTACAAGTTATCGTCAAGACTCAAACTGACGACCACAAATATCAAAGTGGATCGACAAGGTTTGGAGGAAATTAACATCAACAAAAAGTTTTGTTTAATGTCAATGTTGAGTTTAGACTTTAAGGGCATGTTTGGAAGTTAGGATTGTCTAAATTGATGTATTGTTTCAATGTATGAATTTGAAAAATACATTGTTTGGAGATTGAATGATTTTGGTGGTCCCTCAAAGAATAAGAAACAAAAAGTAAGACAACAATCCCTCAAACACAATCTCTTCTAAAAGTTGAGATTGACAATCATTCATAATGAATGATTCTGGTGGGCCCATTTGCTGTTCAAATACAAGCATTCTGTTTCATTTTAAGACAAAAAAACGACGAATTCTTCTGATTACATGTATTGGCTAAATATATCATCTGAAATCCCAGCTTCCAAACGAGCCAGTTTTGGTTATGTTTTGTCTTTTGTTCTACAAAAACAAGGTGGCCCACCTTTGTCATGTAGTGCCACTCTTGGACTATTTAAACTAAATGTTGAATGAGAAAACCCAAGGTTCTAGGGTTTCATTTCATAACTCATCTTTGTTGTTAACCACTCGATCCACGCCTTGTTCAGCGCACAAAGGAGGGGGGTTTTAATGGCTTAGAAGTTTCCTTGGATGATGACTACGGATAAACGGCGGCAACGATGGGTGGTGGTGAAGCAAAATCGGGGAAAATTTGGAAAGTTTCTATGGAGTGGTGTGTTTCATTTGACTGCGATTAAGGTAATTTGTTACCTTGTGATTTTGCCAAAATTTTTAGACAATTGTAATTTTATGCTCTTTCATCATATGGGAAAAAAAAGGCTTTCATAACTTTTCAAGTGCTATAATTTTTATTAAGGAATTTTTTTAGAAATGACATATTCATTGATTGTAGCTTTTTTGAGTATGCTTTTGTAACTTTTTTTCTTCCAATTTGCACCACACATTCTCAAGATTATCCTCTAATAAAAGATTTACTTCTTGGAAAGTTTTGCAAAATAAAAAAAATTGCATCAATCATATAATCGAGCGTAAAGGTACGGTCATATGAAGTTTTGACGTATATTAGTAGTAGATCATAACAGGAGCAATCCACTAGCAGATCGCGACAGGCTGTAGCGATCCACCTATATCGATATTGTCCGACATAAGCCGAATCTTAAATCACTGAACACTGTAGCGAACTACACCAAACTTGTGTATTTTGGGAAAGAGTTATATGTATAATATGCCCATCTACTTTGTATTTTTCTCAAACATTACCCTCTACTTTGAATCACATGAAACATACCTTTCTAATATTAAACGCTCCTCAAACCTAACCCTCCGATCCAACCGGTCCATAACCGAATTCGGTCAATAGAATTTCATAAAAATGGAAGGCAAAATGACTTTATTACCCCTTAATTTTTTTAATCTCCCCCGCATTCCCAAAACACATTCTGCAGCCTCTACAAAATCACATTTCGATGCAGCAGTGACCACAAATAGGAGGCTCTTTTGTGAGTTAGTTTGTATTTTGATTTCACCATCCGTAAAATTAATTATATTGGATCTCTATCTACAGAGATGCACCATAGTTATCAAGACGTAACCAAGGTTAGAGTGATGACGGTCTTAATAAGACTGTCGGATGGGTGAAATTAGGGTTGGGTTTGCTGTAAGATCCAAAGTAGGGGTGTAGAGATTCAAGATTGACGATGGTGGTGCGGTGGCGGCGGCGTGAAGGGGAAACAAAGGGTGGGAGAGGTTAGGGTCGGCAGTTAGGGAGGGAATCGAAGCAAGTCTATGAGGATGAAGGCGTTGACAATTCTACGGCTGCAAAGTGGTGGTGGCGGCGAAAATCATACATCGGGAGAATTGGGATGGTCGAAATCGTTAAAGGGGAAGGGCTTTGAATGGAGGGTTTTCATTCAACGGAGGGTCATAAATAAGGGGGCATCAAAGTCATTTTGACTTCCATTTTTATGAAATCTTACTGACCGAATTCGGTTGGACCGATTTGGAGGTTCTGGAACGGAAAAATAAATCGAGGGTAGGTTTGAACAACGTTTAATACTATAAGGGTAGGTTAGATGTGATTCAAAGTAGAGGGGCATGTTTAAGAAAAATACAAAGTAGAGGGGGCAAATTATAAATATAACTCTTTGGGGAAAAAATTCTTAACAACGAACCACGCGCAGAGATCGGGCGACCCTTTTCCCTTTGCCCTTCGGGTTGAGTCTGCCCTCGTTTGGGATTAATTCGATAGGTTTAATTATTTTTATTAATATTTTTTGTAACTTGACGTGGTGTCTGGACAAAATTAATAGAATTCAGGACTGAGATTGAACAAAATTATTGTTTTGTTATTCGCTTAAACATGTTATATCGAAACATGCAAAATATATCCTTAAAAAAAAAACATGCAAAATATAAATTCTGTAACTTTTTTTTTACAAAGTGAACATTTTTTACTGTTTGTGATAATTAGCCCGGTTCTATTCGACTCGTATTATTCTTTCTGGGCAGACGTTCAATTTTAACCCGTCTTTTCCTGGCGTCTTAAACCCTTGGGACTTGGGAGGTTGCAACGATCTGCAATTGCGACTTCTATCTGGGGCTTTAGATTTGGATGCTTGCAACAGCTGAGTGTATAAACTTTCAAGAGCAAGAGTTTTCACCGCTAATTCTAGAGATCGACACGGTCTTAGAGAGCGGGAGCTATGCTGGCCAGAAGGTTTGTTTCCGTGTTCAAGGGCTCCCAAAGATCGCAACTTTCCAGGTGAACTAATTTTGCTTGATTCTGTGTCCTTCCCTTTCTTAATCCCTAACTAATAACTGATATCACCGCTGATTGCTAATTTCAAATATGAATTCTGGTGGAGTGCCATTATGTGACCTTGCTGCGGGATTTTGCCAATGCAGTGCTGCGAAGCCGGCAGAGGAAGGCAAGAGCGAAGCATCATCATTTGGACGTAAAGCAGTCTCCTTTGTATTGATTACTGTTACGGGTGGTGTTGCCTTGAGCGCTCTGGACGATCTCTCTATCTATTATGGCTGCACCAGGTAATGGCGTGCTCTTGATTGCTCTAGCTGTTAAGTTGATTCTATTAGAGTTTACTACTTGTGGGTTTCCATTGCTAAGAATGTCTAGGAGATGTGCCAAAACTGTAGTGAATATTTAGATTAGTCTGGACCATGTTAGGATTCAACCGTCTCTGGGGGGAACCTCTTGAATGGTTTCTTTCTGTGATACTTGCTTGTGTTAATTTGAAGAGCCGAGAGGAATGTGTTGAACAAGAATGATTGAATTTTATCACTACCTTCATTCATATAGTTTGCTTTGAGTGGAATGGTGTACTAGAAATAAAAAATGTTTCGTTACGGATTCACAACTATTGGCTGTGTGATTTGCGAAGGAGTGGTTACTTTCTGGAGTTTAGACTGACATATAACTGTGGGCTTATGATGTTTGTAGTTATGCGACTAATTGAACTGCTGATGTGATTTGATTGCTTGTTAAGAAAATAGATACGGAGAATGGTTCTCGTGCTGTAACTTGTAAGGAAAAGAATTGATGCAAAAGTTGGTTGTGCCTCTGCATGGAAATTTCCTTCCTTTGGTAACTGCTCTTTGGTGAATGGGTGAAAATGTTTAGTGAAGTGATCTAGTGGATTCGTTCTTCTGCTTGGTTTGTGAGGCTGTAGGGTTGTATCTTTAGCAGTGTGATGGTGTTAGATATGTTGCACACTTGGATGAGGTGAAAAGATGAACTTCTGTTATTTGCTCGTTTCTCAAAGCTTTCATACTCTGTGGTTTAGGATAATTGCAAATTTTCTGCTAGTCTATAGTCCTTCTTGTATATAGTGGTAGAAAGGTTTTGCCTACTTTGCAATGCACAAAGCTCCTTGGTTGTACGAAACAGTCTTTTAGCCGGACACCATTCTGGTGCAGTTATGGATTCTGGTTTAGTATAACTCCTTTTGATAGGATGAAGAAGAGAGTCACTGTCGCCTTGATGGTAGTTGGTGGGCTGATGGTGAAATTTGGTAGATGCTTACACAGATCATATCTTTGACCATTTTACCTCTGCACAATGTTCAGAAAGGCAATGGAGAGAGCAAACAACAACGAGAAAATTAAAGAAGCTCTCGGTGAACCAATAGCCAAAGGGCCGTGGTACAGTGCTTCCCTTGCAGTATCTCACAGAAGGCAATCTGTTTCTTGTTCATTTCCTGTCACTGGTCCACATGGAAACGGAGTCGTGCAGATGAAAGCTGTTCGTGGCGGAGGTTGGTTTGTTGTTCAATCATCTGCTTTGTCCTTCAACCCTTACTCTTTTCATCAATCGCTCTCATGGAATTGTTAACAGGACTAAATAAATAGCGTTTGCCGCATTCTTAACATACCTTGCCACATATCCGACTGGTGATGGAGCCTCATTTTGTAGCCTGATCAGGTTCAACATTTTCTTGTTGCAGATGACAACTGGTTATCGTATCTACTCCCTCGAGACTGGGAAATCCTCATAATGGATGCCCTCGTTAACATTCCAAGCAATGAAGAGAAGCAGCAAACACAACGAATTAGTCTGTTGGACAGCTCTTCAGCATGTCAGCCATGCACGGCTTGCCCCCGGACCCAGAAACCAGAAACCAAATGATCAAATATCAAAGTGATGATGACCCTTTTTACCAGAAAGAAAGTGACTTTTTTTACAGGAAGGTTGCCCTTGTATTCTATTGGTTCTCTTCCTTTCAGATTTTCTCATTTGTTAGCAAAGGGAGAGAAAACATAAGAGTTCGGCTGAAGCTAGAAGGGATTTAGTTAATGGTGTCCTTTCAAAATCACAAACACAACTGGCGGCTGGGATAATGTAATGCTTCCTCTTTCTTTCCTTGTTTTATTCCTTTTTGTATCTGCCTGCTGAATTTACCTGTGACAGTGCGGCCAATGTTGTTAGCGTTTTTGTTTGGAATTGTTTGGTGAAGCAAGCAATAAAGGTGCGATCCTGGTTCAAATCTTCGTTGCAGCGTATCATTTTGAGGGGAATTTTTTTTGGTGGCATTCAATAGGTTTGAAAATTCGAATTGACTGCCTCCATCTTCTTCACAAATTCATGGTTTTAGTGTGTTTGAAGAGGAGCAGCAAAACGTTTTGACCATGAAAATAGTACGGACACCAAATTGTTATGTCATTAAATTCACCACTCAATCTTTCATAATTTGATCCCAGTTGTAATCCTAAAAAATATGAAATTAGGGTTGTTCACAATTTTTAGAAACATGAAAGGATGAGGATAGAGGTGAAGGATTGAATGTGGCTACGAAGACTATCATTGGGATTCTGTACATTTGTCGTTGAGGAAATTTAACTGAAGCATAATGAAATTGTCGCAATGAGAAACGAGATTATTTTCTATCACGGATAACAGAGGCCAAAAGTTAATACCATATGAAAGTTGACGTAAAAATCAGGATAAAATCGTCTTGGACTTTTGCAGTTGTATAGATTTTAAGAGTTGTGCAAAATAAAATTAATCGTGTCAATCGAATAATTGAGCACAATATTACTAACTTAAAAAGTTTCACCGTATATTAGGTGAAAATGATGAGACCTCTAACGATTTTGTGACAAACTTGTTGGGATTGATAGCGATTATGCAAAATCAAGTGGAGTTGCAGCAATCCAAGTAAAATCACTATGGATTCCAACAATTTTGCTCAAACTTAGGTATTTTGGAAAAATTTAATAGGGATGCATTTATTTTGAGCAACTTTTTTAGAAAGTTGTGTACTGGGAAAACATCCAAACAACTAGTAGGGAACCAGAGTGCAAAACCGGGGAGGAAGAAGAAGGTTGTTTAGCTAAGCTCAACAACCCTAACCTGGCGCGAGCGAGGGATTTCTGGAAGAAGCGTTTAAGACCAAAAGGTCTAAAAGCGAAAATAGTGGAGACTGTAGAGTAGCCGATCTTGGAGCAGGAGCTTATTGATTTTGGATCTGTAGCCGATCGAAAACTTAACGCCGGACAACCGGCAGTGCTCTGGGCTACCGGACGGCGGTCGGTGAGAAACGCTTCGTTCTCCTTATTCCTTTGCTCCTTTCGCAACAAAATTGGTTGTTAATCGTAGATTGACGAATTACACAGAATCTCAGTAATTCTATTCCATTTTCTTCCCTTTTACTTCGTGTATATGCAGCAATCGTGGTTAACAGACTCCCAAAATTGTTTACTGTGATTGCTGCTACTTATTTTGTTCTGTGTTCTTATCAGTTGCTTTGATCCGATATTTGAGTTGAGGCTACCCTAGTCCGGCGATGGCAGACTTACCAGGTTACGTGCGTTCTTGCTTGCAAACTGGTCACCTTGCTATGCTAGCTATTCTCGTTTCGGGGGGAATTGTGCTCCAAGTCCTGGTCAGTAGCACTCTGAAATTCGCAGAATGGATTCTTTAACCAAATGCTTTTGAGGTGGCCATACCATAGCTTCTCTTGTGATCATTTTTTGACATGGCAGGCCTGTGCTTTGTACAATAATTGGTGGCCAATGCTTACTGGTGAGTGATAATTGACCAGTATTGTTTGAACATCTCTCACAGTTGACGAACACGACCAATCCACCATGATCTTAATTTGATTGCTTATTTCTCTAGTCGGTGTGTCAGTGGACAGTGAATGGTAGAATAGTTACGGACGAAAATGCATTTCGCTGAAGGAAATGCAGTATTCATCAAATGTCTTTGCCTACTGGATGCTACGAGTACATGATTTTCAAGAATGCTCACATGCTATATTAGTTATGTAATGTTGTGAATTCCTTATCTGCTGCATTTAGAAAAAAAAAAACACATCAAATTTGATGTCAGGTAGCACCGAATGCTGTTCTAGAAGGGACTTGATGTCAGTAAGCTGACTTGGCATCATCGTTGGTTCACATTCATCAAACTGCAAGTGTTCGATATGCTGATGGCCTATATGTGCAACTCCCCATTTGTTGTTCCCTACCTGTTTACGTGGATCGATGATGATTTCATCGGCTCATAGTTATAATCTTCCTTCAAATTTTGAAGGGCCGACACAACCAGCGTTCTATTATAACCTCGTACGTTCTTGGCTTCTTGCAGTTGTGATGTATGTGCTTCTTCCAATGCCCTTGTTGTTCTTTGCTGGCTCGGAATCTGTCTTTCAAGAATCTGATAGCAGGTAATGCTCCATATCCCCTGCTTTCAAGAGATCCCACGGTCTGAGATGTGCCAATTCGAGCTGCATATTGAACATGGGATTAACCAACCTGTTTCTGTGGCTAATGATGAACAATGAACAGCTGGATGAATGCCAGCAAGTTTTTCACTGGAGCATCTACTGTTGGAAGTATTGCCATACCGGCAATCTTAAAGCATGCTGGCATTATTGGGTGGGGAGCACTGGCAATGGAACTGTCATCATTTTTCATATTTGTGATAGCCATAATGTGCTACATTAGCATATATGATGAAGATGGCTATAGTTGTATGCTTTAACTTGATTGGCGTGCAGAAAGTGCTGATTCGATGCCTATTAAGACTCCGTCGTTCTTGTTAAGGTGTGCCTATATTGTTTCTGCTCTTTTTCAGTTTGTGGAGTTGCATATTCTTCTTTTTTTTTTTTCCGGTAATTATCGAAACTTTTATTCAGCTCAGCCTGCAAACAACAGGACCCTCAAAAACAAAGAGCCACACGCGCTCTACAAGTCTGTTTACAACTCAAAAACAGGAAACTCTCACAAAAACTTCCTATACTGCATATAGCAGGCTACTCAAGTGGGGGATTTTCAAAATTTCTAATCGAAAATCAGGTCTACTCATAACAAATAGATTGAAATCAGCAACCCATCTTCTCTTAATCTCCTCCACCGAATTTTGCTCTCTCCTGTACATCCTAGCACATCGCTCTTTCCAAATAACACTCACACACCAGCACCAGATTGCGCTCCAAATCAGCCCTTTGCTGCCTTCCCTATTGCATCTACGACACAACCAACTCATGAGGCCATCCCAATCATTCGGCCACCTATGCATATCAAAGACTGCTGCAAAGAAATCCAACGCATAAGTACAAGAGCAAAACAAATGAACGCGAGTTTCTTCCTCTGCTTGACATAACACACACAAAGAGTCAGAAAGTTTCCCCCAATGCTTAAGCTTGTCTCTCGTAGTGATTCTATTCAGTATAATTAACCAAGCCACCACCCTGTTTCTTGGAATCACATGCTTATTCCAGATCAACTTCCACCAATCCACACGAGCTCTTTTTGGTCTGATAGAGGCCCAGATCTTTTGCACCACAAATCTTGGCATCGGACTCCCTTCCCAGAGCACTCTACCTTCTGTATCAGTGTCTAATCTGTGTTGGAACCAGCTTCTAGAACTAAGTAGCTTCCTCCAAATCCACGAACCAGACTGAGAATGAGGAATAGTCCATATGGATCTCCCCTTCAGCCTGTTGCATCGGAGTAAATTTTTTGATATTTGAGAAAACATGCATGTATCTAATATATGTAAATCCATTTCCAGTCTCAACAATCAAAGCCTGAATCCTGTATATAATTGTTAGAGTACTTTTGGGCACTAGTATTATTTTGTTTCGTTAAAGGGTTAATATCATTCTGTACCCTTCTACTTTGGCAAATTAACAAACGTACCCCTCTACTAAATTTTTGCATAAACATACCCCTCTAATATTAAATCGTAACAAATTTACCCTTCTATCTAATTATCCGTTAAGTGACCGTTAAATGAGTTAAGAAATTACCCAATTGCCCCTCATTTACTCTTAATTTCAGTTTTATTTTATAATTTATGTCCATTATCAATTAATTAGAAGAAACTAAAACCCTAGACAAATTCAGAATCACCCGAGAGTGACCATCCGTCCCCCTGAAGCCTTCCTGGAATCTGCTCCTCGTCGGCGGCGCCTACTCCCGCAACTCCTCGTCGGCGGCAGCTGGAGTAGAGAATCAAGGTGGCCATAATCAACCTGTAATTCCTCTGTAGTTCCCTTTCCTGCTTTGACTGCGCCTCCCGTGTATTCAGAAAAAAAGATCAACATAATCAACCCTGGTGAATCAGCATATCCAGAAAATTTATCTCTTTTCTCAGAACCTCATCCTCCCCCACTTCCTCGCCCTTGCTGGGCCTCACCATAGCCGAATTGCTGGCGAAACTATTAATCGACATCCCAAACAAATTCGCATTACGATTATCGGCAAACAATGATTCCGGAATTTTCATAGCAAACCCGAACATGAAGTTTCCGAGTTTGGAATCACTGTCGCCGCCAAACATGAACGACTCTCCGACTTCTCGTTCAGATCATACATGATGGCGGTGGCACGAACTACGGAGGCCCTAGACAACGACGAGCCTCCGACGAAGTTGCCTTTTGCCGCCCAATTCGATGTCGTGGGAGCAAGGTTGTCAACCCGCGGGTCGACCCAATTTGACCCTGACCCGGTGAGAAAAACGGGCCGCACGCACCCGCCGGGCCGACCACTACAAGGTACCAGGTTGGAGATCAAATTGTGTCTTTTTTCCTTTAGTTTTGCGAAATGCGCCTTAGCGCCTATTTTCCGATTTTTCTTTTCGCCTAACTCAATCTTTGGAATCCTAAGTTGAACATTTGAATATTTATGTTATATAAGTGTGTGTGAATTTTCAATATATGTTGGATCTAAGTACGATATGTTATTTTGGTGTACTATTATATGTTATAACTCATATGTTGGATAATTTTTGATATAATTTATGATGATAAGTACAATATAATGACTCTTTCCATATTTCCGGGTCAAACCGGGCTAAAACGGTTGACCCATTAACCATTGACCCACTAGCTCGACCGGGTCCGGGTCAACCCACGGGTTGACAATCTTGCGTGGGAGCGAGAATCTTCTTCGCAAGACGGCCACCTTGATTTTCTCTACCCCAGCTGCCGCCGGCGAGGAGTCGTGGGAGCAGGTTCCAGGAAGGGCTTTAGGGAGACGGATAGTCTTTCACTCTCAAGTGCTTCTAAATTTGTTTATGGTTTTTATTTTTTCTAATTAATTGATCATGGACATAAATAATAAATTAATTAAAACTTAAATTAAGAGTAAGTGAGGGGCAATTGGGTCATTTTCTACCCCATTTAACGATCACTTAACATATAATTAGATGGAAGGGTAAACTTGTTACGATTTAATATTAGAGGGGTATGTTTGTGCAAAAAATTAATAGAGGGGTACGTTTGTTAATTTGCCAAAATAAAGGGGTACAAAATGCTATTAACCCTTCGTTAAATGATATAATTTACAAAGCTATGAATATTGAATCATACTGTAATTGTGTCAAAAGAGATAAAATTTGAGTTTTTCCTAGTTTTAGCAAGTTCCTATACTCACATGAGGTAATTTTCTATTTCAATCTATTTGATCATTTTCTCCATTGACATTGAAATTGTCCTTATCATCGAGGTTATTAGAAATGACAATGGGACAGATTCAGGCAGATATCTTGATATCCATACTCGCATCTTGACAGATCAGATTTAGGTTGGATAATTTATTACTCAGTGCGGGTTGGGTCAAAACTTTTGACAGATCAACCTATATAAGTATGTAATTTAATTGGAAACCATTATAAATATTTGTTTTTTCATTAAACTAAAAAAAAACTATATAATATGATAAATGTTAATAAATTATTCAACCAATTGAGATTCTCGCATATTTACAATTTCATTATAGCTAAAATATGAGTTCATAAAAGCAAAATCCTAAGTAATTGGAGTAAACTTACATGTAGTTTAGGCAAAAAAATTGGTGGAGAATGGAAATAGTCGGCCAGATCGAGGAGAGTACCCAAACTCGTTCTGTCAAGGCGAAGATTGATACTTGTTTATGTAGACCACCTTTTACAGAGTTCAAAATTGAACGGTGCAGCTCAAAATTCCTTCCTTCTTTGTATCAGTTTGATAGGTGGCAGATTAGTTTGTTTTGGTACCATGTTAATAACTGCAATACCATATCTTGTTTTTACGCTCGTACTTCTTCAATGTTGTCATTATTCACACTTTTTACCTATGAAATTTGCAATATCACAATATGAGTTTATTTTTCAAGAGACTTTATAAAGCTTTGTTGAACTAGGTAGTCGCAGACAAACAATTGAACGTAACATCATTGATAAAACTTCAATTTGTACACTGAAACAGTCGATCGGAAACCTCATCGTAACTTTAGCTAGTGACACTTGGAGTTTAGTATGACTCATTTTATCAAAAGTCTATATAGAAAGATGAAAAAGTATTGCATTAGATTTAACAAGAAGTGGATCTGGAAAGGCATCACCAGATATTAAAAACAAGTTGGCCTTGAATCGTCACCCCCAGCCAAAAACAATTATAATGAACTGAGTTGAGATCTGATCTGGGCCACTTGCCCCCATCTGTCCCACAGAAAAGCACACACAAATCACATTCTGATTCTGAGGAATAATTACCTTTTAATGTTACAATAATCACCAAATAATGCCCATGAATAAACTACTACTAAGGAATGTGTGATATTATTAGTGATTATGAAATATTATATGGCTGGTCGAGCTCTTGTGCAATGTGCATGTGTGCGACGACATGTATCCAAAATGGTTATGTGGACTTTTGCTTTCATTTATTTTATAAAATTTTACTAATTTTCTTTCATAAAATGGTTATGCCGCAGAATGTGGGTGTACCGGCTGGTCAGGGGAGTTCTTTAGGTGTGATCTGTTCCTTTGATGGTGCAGTCCGTGGAGGGTCCCATGCAGCTGGTGGAATGGTTCTGCAGGACGCGGCGGGTATGGTGCTGGTAGTGCATGGGGTGACGTATAGCGGTCTCCAGAGTCCAATGTTGGCGGAGTTATCTACGCTTCGGGATGCCATCAGGTGGTGCCAGCGCTTTGGATTGGAGACGGTCTTGCTGGAAGGGGATGCGAAAGTGGTTATTGATAAGGTCAATGCAGGGGGTATTGCTAATGCTTCCGGGGGGGCCATATTTGAGGAAATTCGCCATCTCCTGTCGGCATTACCAGGGTTCCGGATCATGTTTGTGGGTAGGGAGAACAATTGGGTAGCCCATCTGGTGGCTCAGAAAGCCCTTTCTTTGTTTCCTACGGGTTGTAATATGTTTGATTTTCATACTTGGCTCCGCTTGGAGCTAGGTCATATGTAACTTGGTTTTCTTGTTAATGCAAGTGATCGTTTCGTCAAAAAAAAAAAAAAAAGCACACTCTCGTTGAACTCGCTCTGCAATTGATTTACAACGATGGAAGGAATCAACTGATTTCAAGAATTCGAGTTATTGTAAAAGGTCTATGTATATGTTTTAACTTTTAACTACTTCCTTACATTCCCGCTCAATTGTAAACAAATTCATAAGTTTGAAGTTTGCATATAGCTCTCATACCATAGATTAAAGACGATTGTTAAGGATCGAGTTAGATGGTTGGTCGTCTTCTTCAAAAAATAAAAAATAGTTTTTTCGGAAAAGGACCGAGCGAGAGAAGTACGCAAACCTTAGTTCCCGCTGGCGCGGGCATGACCGGACTGGCGTCGGACGTCACTTCCACGGTCTCACAGCCAGCGGATTCAAGTGCTGAGCTACGACGACCGCCTTCTG